TTTCAGAGATGGGTAACCACCTCCTGCCTATGTAGTCTCTGCGGGAGGGGGTTCCCCCAATTTTCTGGTTAGGAATGTCGAGGATTCAGTGCTTCCGACTCGTGTCGGTACATTGCTTGCCAGTGGGTTAATGGTTTGTTGTGGGGAACTTGTTGGTGATTGATGCACTTGTTATTGTGCACAGTATTGTAAATGAACCGGCGTTTCCCGGCTGGTAGGTAACGCCAACATTTACGCAGTTGGGTACTTCTGCCGTATTCCAAAGGAAGGTTGATCCCATGTCGATGTTTCCTGACATAATTCTTGGGGTTTACCGGCTGGAGATGCATTGTGCAGCGGAATTGATGTAACCGAAGAACACCGTGAAATATATATGGAATTCTAATTCAATCAGTGATGATATCGGCGTCGTGTTTTCCGTTTCGGTGTCGTCTTGCGTGATGAGACGCTGTTGAGTCATGGCACCAGGAGCTTTGCCTGGCCGCATTCATTCGGAGGCTTTTCGTGAGAATCAGTCCGATTCCGAATGACATGGGTGTCTAGGGGAACTACTAAGCAAAATCTTATGGGGAGGAGGCGTTTGGAAGGTGTGTTCTTGATAGCGTGGAAGGTTCGCGGTTTAGGCTAGGGATAGTTAGGGATGTGATGCGAGTAAATCTTGACGTAGTTCCGTGTGGAACGACCGAGAACTCTCGCGAACGTGTCTTAACTTGGGGGGGGGCAGGTTGCCAAGTGTGGTACTGGGCAGAACGAACAATTGGTGGGTCCGTGGGGGGCAAGTGAGTGCTTTGGAGGTACCGTGTGCCATGATGCAGTTCCTCTCGCGAGAATGCCAGGTCTTCAAACTTTTAATATTCAAGGTGTAGCGCCTGCCTTATGCAACGGCCCTTGTTTTAGGGGGCGACCTCCATTAGAAGCAAAAGACAAACAATTGAGAGATCGCAACCGACCGCTGCGATACGCGTGTCACTTCTGAAGGCACCCTTGTCGCGGTGACACCGTCCCTGGGGTTTCCACCTACGCTGCGTTGCTTCGATACGATGTGCATCGTGATTGATCACCGTTAGTTCCCCCCAAACTCGAAGGATGTTCTTGGCAGCGGTGACCTCAAGCCCAAACGCCCCCCATCTCCCCCTCCCCCACTAAAACTTCGCACCACAAACCTGGTCGAAAAGGTGTTGCGCAGAGAGCGGCGATTACTCCGGCACAAACGTGAGTCAGAACCACGACCACATTTAATTGCTACACTCAGGGCAAGATTCCAAAATACTGCCAGTAGACCGGGATTCCACATACCAGAGAATCTCTGGGGACAAAACACGCACTCGAAAGACGACGTACAGAAAAGACTAAATCCAGAGGCGAAGTCTTTTGCCGCCATCGTACCCATTTCATTGCTCAGCGGGGAAACTAACGACCACACGAGACCGCCCACCCTCCAGCGAAACTAAACTCAAATCATAGAGAACCGAGAAGTTAACGTACAGTCGGAGGGACGGACAACGCCGTCAACAAGCCCCCACCCCCAGCTCCCCGCCAAAGGACACCCACGTAGCAATATGTGACTTGCCAAGAGTCCATCACGACCTTTTCCACCCAACGGTCCCCTGCCCCCATCGGTAAGCGAAGTTGGTCACCAACTTCTGCCTCAGTTCGAGGAAGTCGTCGTCCCACTCCACAACCTCAGCCTCGTGCGTGATCGCCATCCTCCGCGCGTCAGGGTGCACGATGTGGTCGTCGAGGTTGCCGTCCGCTCCGGCCCAGTCGCAATCCGCCTCCAGCAGCTCGATCCCGTCGTAGGCGAGAAGCATGTCGTGCAGTATGACGCACGTGAAGAAGATGTTGTCTATTCTCTCTCTTCCTGTGGAGGAAACCCATCTCAAAATTCTGAACCGGCCCTTCAGACGCCGAAGCAGCACTCTAAGTCCTTGCGGACGCTCTCGAGTTGCCTCTTGAATCCTGCCTCGGCCTTGTTTGATGGCGCCCTGATCGGACTCTGGAGCTGCCTCCACTAAGCAAAGAGGGATTGATGGCGGGTGAGCGGGCGGTAGGGATTAACGTTAGGGATGCCAGGGGGGATGTACCACACATGACTTGAAGACGCACATCGGAACCTCAGTAGAAGACCGCGGAACAGCATACCATACGTTCAAGTTAAACGTCAAATATGGCATAGTGCACATCAACTACCATCACGTTCCGCGGAGACGAAGACCGTGAGATACCGAAATGTACAGAGAGGTGGGGGCGGGGACCTGGTTCAGTCTCCCCCACCACCTACCTACGCCTTCTGGCGGGGTAAAGCCAATAGCTTGTGGAACTCGCGTACAGACAGGCAGACAAGCACGTTTACCCATACAAGGTGTTCGGGAAAAAATAATTGCGGGTACCCAATCACAACCAAGGTGTTCGGTCATCAACTTTCCGCTGCCTGACCAGACGGTGCCACAAAGCCGTCTATAGTACTACGCATTCATTTCCCGAACAAAAATTTCCTCTCTTACGGAGCCTGTCGTAGTAAGTTTATTCAATGAAGAGGTGAAAACCATAACAGAGGACAGAGGACCACACAAACATATAGACCTAGAGAGCAGCCCGAACTCCTGAGTTACTAGCCGCAAGATTCGACAAAGGCTTCACGCATCAGCAAAGTCTCGTCCCCTACAAAAAAGATTAAGACCCGGGGTCTCGGCATTTTCGCCCCGCTGCGTCACTGGCTTCTGTTTATGCTGGTGCGTACCGTAGTTTTGCTCATCATCCACAGAAAAAACACCTACTCGGACCAGCGAACAAGAGAAACTACAGATGCGAACGCGTGCAATTATACACATGAAACGCACCCCCGAAATAAAACAACAGCAACGTTCCGTTCGGGTCTCCATTTTATTTTTTGTATACCTCCTGTTGGGTAACAAGTTAGCCTGTGACCACGGGAACTGACCGCGTGAAGTGATAGTGTTAGATCAGCACGGAGAGATTGGGACAGAAGGGGGTACTGGATGGAGAGACCGGGGCAATTTTTGATGTGAAGACAACAACAACAACACCAACAACAACAACAACGTTCCGTGACACAGCACTTGGAGAAAACAAAATCAAGTTAGATGACATGGGCATACCATCCGTTTATGGAAGACACGTTGACACGCTGTTATTTTGTCTCGTGTTCCTATACCTACGTTTATTCCTGGTAATTTAAGTTGAACACCAACCCATCCGCGCGCACCGGATGAAGGGAAAGAAAATCGGCACTACTGCCTGTTGTCCGTTGTGCAAAACACGGGCCCGCTCACGTTGTGATATCCGCCGTCCACATTCAACCATGGCCCTTTCTCCATGACATCCTCTCCGTCCTTACCCTTCAGAGTGTACCCCACGTCCTTGTACCAGCCGTCTCGAACCGCCATCGCGAACTTATCGAACTTGATGATGGACTTGTCGTTCTGGGCCCCGGGGAAACCCCGCGTACGACAAAACACGCATGTCGTGGCTGACGGCGACGTTGTACACTATGGTAGGGTAGCCTTCCTTGCCCATGAACGACGCGTGTTTGGAATAGGACACACCGTCCACTCAATATGCGTCCCATCCATCGACCCCATGACACCCGACATTCCGACCTCGTCATATGCTTTTATGATCTCCTTGAGCTCGTCTTCATTCGGCATGCTCACCCATATCGAAAAGAACTCACGCTCGAATCATTCCGTGAACTGGTGGAACAGGCGGTTCACCGTGGCCTCGCCCGTGCCCGTGACCTCCGAGACATCGTCAAAATAGTTTCCTCTTCCCAGCATGCGAAGCACCGCCAAAACCTGTTAGGAAACCGTAAAAAAATAGCGGTTAGGGAGACGATTCGTGTTGTGCAGAACTAGACGTTGTGATCAGCAGCGTGAACACAGGTCATCAGTGCAGCATGTGTGACCCATGCGTGTCCAACTTGCGAAGTAAAATAGTTCGTCCAGTTTTGGAGCAACACTGCAAGTGAGCTACGAGCATCAGTCACAGAGATACCGTCCGAGACTGAAAGGAGAATACATACATACGGTTTGTGTTTCCGAAGAGATGGGGAGAGTCTGCTCTACATGAGCCGTAGGGTAGTACCACCGCCGTGAAGATGTTCACAATATCCGGGTGGCAACAGCAAAACTTCACTTGCAATATCATACATACATGCCGCAGAGGACAGCGATGGAACTACTGTTCCTCGTGATTGTAAGTGTGGGAGAGTGTGTGTGATGAGACGAGCCCCAGTCACAGCCAGCACCCTTCCTCCAGGAAGCAGGTGCGCTCTGTACGTGCCCGGACTGTGCCGAGTACGCGTCTTGCGATGCGACGTGCAACAGCAAGATACCATCTACCTACCTGCTTGGGGAAGGTTCCTTCGTCTGTTCATGTACGTAGTTAAATTATTGCAGAGCCCTAACCCAATGCTGCCATCATCCATCTCTCTCTATATAGATATATGCTGCCTTGCTTAGCACCCCACGCTAGGGTGCACGCGCGTGTTTGCTCACCTTTATTTCGACGGGGATGCAGCGCCTGGAGCCTCTCCCGCCAAGCTCAAACTCGTCGGTCGTGAAACCAGCTCAGTTCCCCGCCTTCACTTCGTCTACAAGGGCAAGAAAGTAAGGGTAGGGTACGCGGAACCTTCGCCGAAACTGTTTTTCCTCTCTCGTCGACGGGTCCTTAAGGAGGTCAGCATTCTCAAGCATCTTTCCCCAAGGCAACCTGCGATAGTGCGCTCTCGGCCGAACCGTGCGTCGGCGCTTGGGTCGCGGTTCATCGTCATCTTCCTCTTCATCTCGGCGCAATTGTAGCAGCGACGCGACCAGAAGCTGCTGATGACAATGTAGCGCGACAGGCGCCAACGACAGCACAGTCAACACCGCCCTCAGCTCTGCGAGCCGCACCATAGCTAGCACTGCTGTGTGCGCGTGTGGCGCGCTCATCGATTCAAAAAAAAGCACGATACGCCCATGTTTTCACGAACCCCCTGGGATTCCTGCTTTGGAATTTATCGTCGCCCGAGTTGGAATCCGCCCTGGATTCCAGCTCGACCGGGCTGGAATTCCCCAAACTGGAATTTTTTGGGATTCCAACGTCCCCATAATTTAGACGTTACTGGAATTTCTGGAGGTTCGCGGACAAAAACTCCCTGAGACCCCCTGACAATTCCCCCGGATTCCGAAATCGGAATCCTTCCATTGACCTCGCATCCCTACAAAGCCGGGACGGAGCACGCCGGGTTCTCACCGGACCAGGCTCTCACATCACCAAGCGCGAAGCGCCGTGAGATATTC